TTGTCAAACACCACACACAACACTGAGCAAAGAACTAGATCTATAAAATCACCCGACAATTTCTGCAACCACAAAAGGTGAATTCACTGGAATTTCACTTGGTCTGCCTGGATTTAACCCTAGCACTTGCACTCAACCTAGCTCAGGAAGTTCCTGCAGTTCTCATTCTACCCACAGATGACTCTGTGCCAAATGCAAGGAAGCCCTTACTTGCAGAAGATGAACAGAGAGTCGTGGTGTACCTTTCCTGAAGTCCCTGCCCTCTCAGTTGTTCATCACACAGGGTCCCCCAGGGAGGCCTGAACACCTCCCCAGCTACAGAAGCACAGGGCTGCTGGATCCTGGGTTGCTCCCATTGCATGGCTGGTGCAAAACAAAAAACCCCAAAGCACAGCTGTGCCAAAGCAGAGCCACCCTCCTCCATGGCAGGGGTCAGACAAGCCCCAGTTGCCTTCACAGCTCTGTCCTGGTGGATGTGGTTCCCGGTGTGTGAGAGACCAGAGCTTCCCCCTGCTTGCTGGCTGTGAAGGGAAGGCAGGGAAGTGATCAGGTCAGGGAAAGGAGCCCAAGGAAGAGCCATGTACGTGTCACTGCTGCAGAAACAGCAAGTACATGTTCCCCTTCACCATCCCAGTGCCACTTCAGGGCCAGTGGCATCGGCAGGCCTTGTGCTCTCAAGGAACAGGGATGGTGACCAATCAGAGACTGAGCATTTGAGCAGATTTCCACGTAATTCCACCTTCCAGTAAGCAAATTTCCAAATGTCATTCCCTAGAACCTACCAGTAGACCTACCATTCCTGTTGGAATCAAAACTCAGCCATCAGCAGAAAAGGAATTGACAGGATTATGCAGCAAACCATGGGCAGCGGGGGCTGGGAGGAACTCCTTGCTCTGAGAGCCAAAACCTCACCACAGGAGATACCATGATAGACTGTACCTGTTAACATTTAACTATGTTTGATAGTTGTCTCCCTCAGCAAGATATGGAAAGGCTTTATAGCGATGTTGCAAGATGGTGAAGAAATCCTTTTGTTCCTCCCCCCACGTGGCCTCTCGCTATGGAGAAATACTAACCACCTTGCATCCCCTTAGCAGAGAACTGTTTAGTCATCCAGTTAACATAACCCATCCCCTTCATTAACATGTCCTGCCCACCAGACCTTTATATTGCGAAGCGTGTGTTTAATAATAATCTTCCGGTTTGTACCCCCTAAACCGGGATCGCACAGTATTTGACCACTCACACATTCCTACAGATATAAAATGTGCTTCACGTCACATCCGCACTAAGCTTCCTCCTGACTAACAATGCAGTCCAAGGATACTCCTTTACTCTACCAGTATTTGAAAAGAAAAATATTTGAAAAAAAAAAAAAAAACCCACCAAAAACAAAGTAACAAAACCCTTAGGAAAAATCAAGCATTCACATATCCTCAGCAGGCTTTTGCATGTTACCAGAAGCACGGCCGCACAAGTAATGGGACAATCAGGCAGGAAACCCCAGCAGAGGGAATGGGACTAGGCAAGCTCCTGACGGGAACTTCTCGCAGACAGAAAGCTCTTCCAAGCTGCCTGTTTCCACCACTGCTCTGCAAATGTTACCTCCCCTGTGGTGCAAACAACCACCTGCACCTGTGCTGTCTGAAGAAGGAGAGGAACACATGAGGAAGAGAAGTTTGGGAAAGCAGTACCCAGCAAACTAGTTACCATTTTAAGTTCATGGTCTTCTGTGGATGAGCTGACTGAAGTGACCTCCACTGCTGGCTCCCATGTGGAAGAACAGACCCAGTGTCCCTGCAGCATCAGCATGACTCTCATGAAAACTCATCGTAAAAGCAAGAAATGTTTTGCTTTATGACCAACCTTCCCTGAGGGAAATCCCTCACAGAAGCATGTTTATTGGAGCACTGCTCCAGCACCCTCTGGCAACTTGTAGGTCTCAGAAACCAACAGTGGCTTGTTAATTGTCCCAGGCAAAGCATGATGCTACCCTGTCCCAGAACAGTAAGTTGAATTCTGGGAGTGAGATGAACTGGATGGTCAGTGTCCCTTTTATTTTATGTCACACCGTTACAATGAATACTTAGAAGACAGAAAAACCATTTTTCTCTTCTAAAAAAAAAAACCTTCCAAGATTCCTGGGGTACTTGGGTTGGTTGATGATGATGAAAGATGACATGCACAGATTTTCACTTACAGAAAGGGAACATGGGTAACTCACATTTTCTAAACTCTTGACAAGTAACTCACCTGGTGACACAGGAACAAACAAATCAAGCCATTTGTACCAATCTCACATGAACCACAACTTAAATTTGAGATACAAAGGATTTCAAGAAGGAGAGAGCCAAGGGTCTGAAGCCATTTTAACATCAGACGTCTTTTCTTAACAGCTTTAAGCATCTCCAGCTCTTTTGTCCAACATACTACTAGGCATCTTAAAATACTCTGTATTAGTGAATGCTATCTGAATATACCCTCTAGCACCCTCAAAGGATTACTCCAGTTCAGCAACTGCTTAAAACACAATGCCTTCTTGTCTGCCTTGGTTTTTTTTCCTTTTTTTCTCATGCTGCTTGGGGCTAATCAGTCTGCTTGTTTCTCTAAAAGAGCAATATGCTTCTCCAAACCCCTTAGGTATTGAACAGACTCTTCAGTTCGGCCTCAACTACTGATAATTATAGTTCTACCTCTGGTTCACCCATCAGTCAAGAGAGTAAAGATCAAAAAAGGCATTCCCTTGTTTTCTGTCAGAACATCATTTAGGCTAAGAACATTTTTGCAGAGTAAGATCCTTCACTGAGTTTAAATTATGTGCTTATTTTCACAAGTTTCTAATCTGTCTCCCCAGAAGCTACCTGCATATCCCTCCTCCCTTTCAGGGAACAGAAGCTCTCTGCAATGGGCATACACCTCTTCTACCTAGGTTTTGCAGTTTCTGCTCCATTACCAGATCCTTTTGATCTCTCAGACTGTTGACTTTATCCTTTTTGGCAACTTTTTCACTCTCTGGTGGTTCTCCTCTGAACCTCTCGCTCTGCTCCCGGTTTCTTCTTGGTCTCGTCCTCAACTTTGACCTTTCTCAGACACTGCTTCCGATCTACTTCAATTTCAGAGGGCCAAAACTTAGCCCCTTACTGATCTTTCATGTACTTTTCTTCATCTCTCTTACTTATGGTCCTATGAGCAACATCCACCTCAGTATTCAGACCCACAGAAATGGGTCACGTTAATGCTTTCGATACCATTACCCAGGCCACAACAAAACCAACCCCTGGTCTGTGCCAGCCTCCTACTCACTACACATCCTTTTCTAACTACCAAAAGCATCCCTCACTTTGGCTAGTAACTTAGAAATACTTGCTTATATCCAACACATACGGATTTTTTTTCCTCCCATGTACCATCTGTTCTTTGATTACCAGCCTTGAATGAAAGGCAATTTTTTCCTGTGGTTTAGAGTTGGTTTTGGGTTTCTTTCTCCCAAAAGCAATAGTAATGAACCTGAAGGAAAAAATACAAGCAAAAATACCTTTGTAATACTACCATCTACCTTGAGCTAGCTAATGATGTCAACATGCAGTTACAGTCCTTCTCAAAAACGCCATCATCCACAGAGCTCTACAGAAAGCAGTCAATAGGGGAGCATGTCTATGGTTGACAATTATCTTCAACTGCTTTACACCACTCGCTGCTCCAGAAGCAAGTATTTCATAATTTATAATTAAAAAACTAAAGTGGAAGTTTTTATATATATTAATGTACTCCATTTCACTTGTGTTACCCTCTAAATACTGGGACCAAGCAGGTATTCCTTACCTACAAGCTCTCAGTGAATCCATATGAGCTTTGCCTCTAAACATTGGATCGCCCTGAAGCGTGGGGCTGTCCAACACAGTAAAAGAGAAAGGAGAGAGCATTAGTGAAGAAGACTCTGCAATTCAGTGCTTTGCACAGAAATGCTAGCTTAAAACAACTGGCTTGCAGGGACAGTGGGAAATTTGACTTTTCATAAAATGCAACCTTTCCCACTCTTAACCCAAAACATTTTATATAGTAAGAACCCAATAAAGATGTTACACCTCGCTTTGTTTCACATCTTTGTGACAGATCGGTGTTTGAAGGAGAAATCCCCACCTGTGTCAATGAATTCCAGCACTCCTGGTGGAGCTGCTGAGATACACTTGAGGTAACCCAGCACGGGAATACAGCAAGGAAGAACAAAACCAAACACAGGCCAGGTCACAAACCCTTTGGGCATGAAAATGAGTGAACAGCAGGGGGATGCACTACCACTCAAATAACACAATGTTGTAAAATGGCTCAAAACATCACGCACGTTCTGATGCATCGAGTAGGACAGATGAACACGTGCTCCCCACAACACACAGCATCCCAAAGTACAGAAGGCAGCAACATGTTTAGAGGGATTACTATGAAACATGCATGATGCCAACACCTGGAAATCCTTCTAGCAACAGATTTTTATCTTACAGTTAACAGCAGAACACTTTTTGCACCAACAAGCAGCAGCTATTTTCCAAAGGATAAAAACTACTTGCTTTCATTAAAGCCCAGTTTTTGATACGACAGAGGCAGAAACTTTATGCTAAGGTTTTCCACTAAGGAGACTAAGTGGTTTTAAAATGCAAACCTAAAAACCGTCTGGGCTTTCCAATTGGCTTTACGTTTTATAGAATGCACCGATTTATACACAGCATTTGTGACAGAAGGAATTTCAAGAATGCAAGCAGCACAATGTAGTAGCTGATTAGGTCTGTGGAAAAAGTTTCCCCAAGTTCAAGTTTTGGTCAGTGTACAATATTCAGGACGCAAAAATACTCTGGTGAAGGTGGTCTGTCTTTCACTTCAGCTATAATAAAAGAGATCTTCTACACTTTAGCTGTAATAATCCACACACACAAAAAAACCCCCCAAAAACAGAGAAAGGGGAGGGAGGGAAGGAGGAGAGAAAGATGGCAGATACACTGAGAATCTGCAGTGTAGATAATCAAACCCTTTATTGTCTAAGTTACATTAGACTTGCAACACCATAAAAACCTGTTAAGAAGAAGAAACAGTAAATTGGTAGAGGTAGTAGAAAGTCCCTGTAACAGTCATAAAAGGGCTTTACAGGAGTGTGTCATGCCAAAAAAACTTATCACATTGTTTAAAAGAGCTGATGGAAGCCCATTGACTAAATAAATAAGGAACACAACTCATTTTAAATACTATGGCCTAACTAAAATAACAAATCAATACGATGATATAGAAGAAAACAAAAATCATGGGATTCTCTTGAGAAAACAGATGGTCTTTAAGGTTGGTTTTTCCCCCACCCACTCTTGTTTCTTGTTTAATTAAGTGAAAATCTCATGTCTGTGCTATACACAGCATATAATTATTTAAACTGATTTTCCCTACTGTTGTTCTTCATGAAGCTAAATTATGATTGTAAACTTTGCTGATTAGTACCCTGGTAATGGCAGTGACAGCACTAGCTTCTCTGTCATGGATTCTGGAAGAAAAGTTCCAGAAAGAAGGTTTTGGCTCTAAATATTAACTCAGATTTTCTAGCTCAGCTTGCCAAAAAAATACAGTTTAAAAAAAAAGAGAGAGAAATTACAAATGTACACTACACTTTTGTGCCATTTTGGGTGTAGAAGAGTTTTTAATAACTAAACCACAAACAAATAGATTAGGCAACTAGCTTTTGTGCATTCCTGAACTGTCACCCTTACTTTCTTTCATGGAAAATATGACTGAGAAAAGCAACAAAACAAAACAAACAAACAAAACAAAACAAAAAAACCAAACAAAAAACCCCCACCCAAAAAACAAAAACAAACTGACAAACTGAGAAAGCTAGTGCAAACCCAAAATGATAATCATTAAGCAACACAGCAAAATATTCCCATTTTTTCATTTTTTCCTTTTCTTTTTTTCTTTTTTTTTTTGGTGTACAACGGAATGTGTCTATGCAACCTCCCTCAAAATAACTTCACAGAACAGTTAATTACAGTCACTTTTAAGCACTTGCACAGACATTCCTAACTACACCGAGACGTACAGAGGATTCTGGTATACATCTTGTGTAATAGCATAAGGAAATCTAATGTAAAAAAAATACATAAGGAAGTTAATTTGCATTGTTGCAAGTGTTGCAAAGTAACAAAACCTGTCAAGTAATTTAAAACCAGTAACAAGTAGTATCCAGACCAAATTACTCACTAGATTTTTTTAAAAAAGGAACCCCCCCGCCCAACAAAACTGTTAGAGTAGAAAGATCACGCTCTAAGGTTTTTTCTGCCTTTTTTTTTTTTTTTAAACAAATCTTTGTCAGAAGCCCATTTCTAAAAAAACAGCACTATTCCGTTACTGTATTAAGTAAACTGTGGTCTCACCTGTATTAAAGGTTAGCATAATTTCTGTACATGTAAAATTATTGCTTTTTTGAAAAATATATTTAGCATGCTAGGTTTTTTTTTTAACTCCATTTCCTGCCTTTACAAAATGTTACAATTTAAAAAAACAAACTAGTAAAGCTTTTGCAAAAATTTTCACAGAACATTTTCTTTCAAGGCAGCAGTAACTTTTGATAATGCATAAAATTATATGTGCAAAATCTGAAACTCTCAGAAATATTACCATCACACATAGTGTCACAGCAATAAGAAAAGAAAATATTTAAATTGGTGGAATACATTTTTAATTGCTTACACTGCATGGTTTAACAACCTGTTATGTGCCACAACCCCACCTTGAAAACTTGCAGTTAAAGAGTTACTGTAGAAGAGGTATATAAAGCTCTTTTTTTAACTTTTTTTTTCCTAACACCACCAGTGATCACCAAGTACAAGACATGACACATTTATATGAACATTAACCTGCCACCACAAAAGAAGTTTCCTCGTCTTTCCAGAACATCACTGGGCCCAAGGAGGAGCAAGTAGCTGGCCTACTGAACCAAACGAAAGAGCAGAGAGCACCTTACAGCCCCACGGCTGCCTGAATTCGTTCAGTGACACCTCTTCTCTTCTAAACAGAGACATCAGCGGCATTAGACAGCTGAATGTTTTATTATTTCCTTTTTTTTCTCTAAGTGAAGACTTCCTTTGTGATCAAGTTGGAGAAAGTAGCCCTGTTACAAAAAAAAAGGTCCTGAGAGTAAAACACAGAAGCCTGTTTTTTTTCTTAGTGTTCGACCAGCTTTTCTGTTCCAAAGCAGAATAGAAGCTTTTCTCTGGAAGTGTTTCAATTTCCATATTCACATACTATTAATGGTGCGCAGTCAAGAGCAAGAGCACTAGAAATGCAAGTGGTCCCCAAACTGTAATGAAACAAACCATTGCAGAATGACAGTCTTTCTCTTTAGTCCCTTTAATCCTTCATCAAGCGTTGCTTTCTCAGCACCGAATGCCACCTTTCCCCCCCCCGCAACCCCCATTCTTCCTCTCTCTGTTGGTTTTTTTTTTTTTTAATTTGCTTTTCAGCATAACAGGCAGTGGCAGTTTCATTAATTAATACTTCTCCAGCCCTCAAATCCACTGCTGTTTTTCAAATGCATCAAATAGTCATTGTGAGCATCAGGGAGGTTTTTGTTACAGTGCTTAACTTCTTCATGCTGTCCAAATCACATAAAGTTTAATTTTTCCAGTGTCTCAAACTTCTGTTGATTAATATAGATGCCACAGTGCTTGCCAACTCCACTGTTTATTATAAAGGAAATAAGGAACCATGGGACTGATTAGTACGTCAATTTATATATATCTTGTGTAGCATCTTCATTTATTTTAAAATGATTAACAGCGCAGAGGCACCCCCCTCCTGGCAGAGCGCTGGTTTCAGTCTCGCGCAGCAGCTCCGGGCGAGGCGATGGCTGCAGGGGGGCTGCTCTGCTCTGCTCGGTATGGGGGGCTGCCGGCGCTGCCCCTCGGGGCTGGGGGCTGCTGGCCTCAGGGCTCCTCCGCCAAGGCTCTAGGTTCCCTTCCGGAGATGCAGCGTGTGGGTGACCTCCGCACCGACGTGGTCTCTCCCCTGCAAGAAGAAGAAGACAGGGAAAAAGCTCAATCTCGCCTCTGCTCCCAGGCATGACCCTCCAGCAAGTCCTGCTGGTGTTTGTTACCCTTTATTAGCATCACGTACACTCATCTTGACCCACCACACGAGAAGTTTTTTGGTTTGTTTTGGGGTTTTTTTTAAAGCATCTCCACCAAGAGCAAAGTGTGTCAGGCCCATATAAAGTCCCTCCTTCAACTACAGCAGCGAGTCATAGCACCTGATGGAGCAGTTCAGAACAGGCTTCTGAGAACAAGGAGGGAGAGAAGAGGCCTCCAAAAAGTGGAATTTTTGTGCTGGCCAAAAAGGATTCATAACTAGATCAGTGCTTTAAAAAGGCTGAAGTTTGAGGTCACAGAGGCAGCTGAATGAAGTAAAACTGAATTCTTGGGCAGGTCTGTCAAATGCTAAGGCAGCTTTCCACACACCCCCCTTGTCATCTTCCTTTTATTTTCTTAGCCAATTTTCATGAATAATTACCATGTTGGAAAAAATAGCAGGGATATTCTAAAATCAAGTGAAATTAAAGATAACATCATGAATAAGTGGGAGCCTGCAGCTCCCAAGAAAAGCTTTAAAATGACATTTAGAACATCACTGTCGGAACAATGCAGTTTACAATCCTGATCCTAAAACAACATGGCAAGATTAATCTTACATAAATGCATTATCCTTAAGCTAAAGTCTTGATGAAGTGAAACAGACCATTTTAAATTAATGCAACATAAAATACGGCACCCATGTAAAATCCAAGCAAGTTTCAAGCTGTGCCTATGGCAGCCCTCGAAATAGCTAAAGAAAGCCCAGCTCTGGTTGACATAATGTATTAAGTGCATCTCTTTTGTTAATAGATTTAGAAAATTCCTAATTAAACCTGGCCTGAGATTCATGACATTTACCAGTCAAAGTTTGGTTTAAGTCGGAAAGATTTGTAACAAAATTAAAGAAAAAAAAAGCTGCTGTACAGACTGCAGTATATTTGAAATGTAGGAAACAGTAACTGAATGAGAGATGTGATAAAACTTCCTTAGTTGGATGCTGAATTTCCTGCAGTAAACTAAGAAAGATGCTTTACATTTTTGCACGGCTGCATCATGCCTGAGAGACACAGCCACAATTCCAGGAGGAGGCATTCATCATTAAAATGTCTCGTATCGAACCGCCTCTACACACACGGGGGAGCACAGCAGGGCTTCACCAGGATAGGGGAGGAGGGATGGAGAGAGGCGAGGGGATGGCAGGCACCTTGTCCCAGTTTCCCTGGGTAAGAACTGAAAAGAAGGGCTGTAATTTAGGGGTGCTCTCTTGGGATGGATAGCCTGCAGGGTGGTGAAAGCGTGCCATGGACCACATAGTACGGGGGATCTGTGAAAAGCATAATCCATCCTCCCCACATCTGCAAGGAGAGTGCAGAGGGGCTGGAGGTGGTGGGTGGCTGGCTGAAGCATATTTGTGCTGCCAGTTTCACTGAGAAACAGCACCTGAGATTCATGTGTGCCAAAACCCACCCGGCAGCTCAACCCCTTGTACTCCCCACAGGCCCAAGGATACAGTCAGATTTTCAACTGGCTGATACACACAGTTGGATAGAATTCATCCTAAGAGACATGTTTTCCCTTTTTAAAAGTAGCCTTTCTTCACTTTCAGTGAAAACCAGCAGATCTTTATGTGAAACCTAGAGCTTCCATGCCAAAGCTGCTTTCATACCAACTTCTAGGGCTTTTCACTGGTTAGCAGGTAAAGAATAGTTTGTGCACATGTTAATATACTGGAGGGCAGATCATTGCACAGCCCTGAAATAAACTGCAATGACCGGTCTGGAGCACAGATACCACTCCTATTTGCTGGCAATGGGAAAGTGTTGAGGCAAGAACTGCAGCTGCTAATCCTGTCTCTAATGCTCACAAAGTAACAGACATACAGTACATGCATATTACTCAGCTGCCAGTACAGCAGCCTCCATGGTTCCTTGATTGTTTGCATTATAATCTCCATATGTATGAACGAGACAAATTAGGTTGCCATTTATTTGTTCATTATCTATTATTTTGATTAATGGAATTCTTGTTCTCAGAATAACTATTTAAAAATAACATTTGCAATAATGAGGACTGAACTATTAATCATGATCTTTGGAAGAAACTCTGCAAGGAACCAGGGCAAGACATTTCATAAGAACAAATGTCATAAATAGGACTTTTAACAGACAGCACCAAAATTTTGAATGCAAGAGAACCAAAACCAGCCAAATTCAGAAACCAATAGTATACTAACTTTTTCATTTGGGTTGGGTTTTTTTGCCTCGTCCCCTTCTCTCAAAAGTTGCTTTAGGACAAGTACAGCTGTGCTATTTCTGGATTAAAAAAACATTACAGGTAACAGATGTCCCCAGCTTTTCCCCCTAGCTCCTTCACAATACACATACACACATATGCACCGTGTTTTCTTGATGGTTCTTTCCAATCTGTCTGTCCCCCAAATTCTGACTGTTCGCATTCATGCTATTTCAAGTACTGAACACTGCAAGAAATATTTTAAAATACTTCTAGTGGAGAAAATTAAGACTTATGGACCCCTTATGAAGGTGTTTTACCCCGTCACACAGGACCTACCGCACATTGCTCTTTTCAGCAAATGAGGCCCACAAACTGTGGTGCCCACTGCTGTTTCACAGAAAAGGACCATCACTGCCTTCTGGCATGGGGAAAGCTTCAACCAGAAGTATTCATGATTCCAGCAGTTCATTTTTTTTTTTTCCTGGGCTGTAGCTTCTAATAGATTTTCTGTGAATAAAAGGGTGTTTTTCTGTAGAGGACAAAGGTTGGGGTTTTGGGGGTTTTGCTTGTTTCACTTGAAGAGAAAGTGAAGAACTTGGTGTCTCTGGTTTCAGTGCTGCAAATATGCTTCACAGATATATGTAGATATATATTCTCAATTACACAGAACTCTTCCTCACTGATAACTAGTAAATCATGCCTTTTGAACACCCAATTACTTGTTCCTTAAAATTTTTAGAGCATATTGACTGACACTGATAGAGGATAGACTATATTGCTACAGTGGGCCAAGCTTTCATACGGCTTTAAAAATGCAGAAGCAGAAGATAAATGCACAGCATACAATTGAAACTGCTACCACTGCTGTCACCATTTTGCAAAAGCAAGCTCAAGACTGACTCCTGTGCCACTGGGAATTGGGCTTCTGGCTGCAACGCTGCAGCATCAGGCAGTGTCTCTGAAATGACCCCACGCTTTAGGAGAGCTTTGCTTTAAGATACACACAGTTGCTTTGAGACACGCGCTGTTGCAAGGCCCCTTCCGAAGGGTAGCCAGCTTTTGTCTTGCCATGTACATGCAATTGGAGTGTGCTCCCCCAATTCATGCCTACTAAATCATATCTTTAGAGGTTGCTTAGTGTATTCCAAATTAAGATACATATTCATTGTGGATAAGCAAGCCTAATTATGTATATATTGGGATATTTAGCATTTATAAAAATATTCAGAATATTCAGTATGTTTAATATGGCAGCATTTCAACAGAACCTACATGACTTTGCACAGATTGTATTGACTTGGGGTATGTAATGAGCATTTTTTGTCCTTTAGATAAAGAAGAGTAGGAAATATTCCACAGTTCATGGGAAATTCACTTTATGTAAAAATGTCCTTTTTTTTAAAGCATTCAGGTAGAAATAAGAAACCACAGTAAATAACATTATGAATGAACACCTTGTTTCCTACATTTTATTTGTATTTCATTGGTGCTGACAACAAAGCATGAAACACAGCCCAGTGCTCATAGTATTAAAACCATGTGTGTCCCATCTTTTTTACACACTCCAACAGGTGACCTCCTTTTCAGTGACACCGAACACCTGCATGTCCTGTTGGTGGTTCACTACCCTAATGCAGGGTTCTTATTTATACATCTAAATATAGATTTATCTGGATCATTTTTGAAAAAGCCTGGCTGTAGACCCTATTTTTAACATGCAGAATTAGAATTATTCTGTGATAAAACTGCCATATAATGAAGCACTGTTGTAAGCTACCATGCTGGGGGATTTTAAAAGCCCTACTAACATTCTTTCATAAAGGAAACCTTTGGAGATGATCTTCTGGTTGACTACAGAAGGGAATGGGGAACCATGAAATACTAATGTTAATATTTTTACTCTTTAGCAGACTACTCAGGGGAAGATACTTTACCTGTGAGGAGGAAACATTATGTAAAGTGGATCATTTCCACTTGACATTAAATAAAAAAAAAACCTTTCCTTCTGAAGCTACTGTACACGGTAACTATTGTTTCTTGCTCAGAGCATGTGCACGGCACTTCTGTAACTTGAACTGATTTTACACCATAAACTCTCATGAATAGATCTGTCCCCAATTAAGAAATGAAATGAAGACACGGAGTGACAACATTTTAAGTGGGAAATGGTAATGTTAACGGAATGCTGCAGGCACCGTTCTCAGTGCGAGCTCATTTCTGTGCTTCTAAAGGCCCCTACAGCTGCAGGTAGAAATGAGAGCATTCCCTCTGTAATGCCCAGGGACTGTGCAGGTGGAGTCTTCTGGGGGAGCACAATGCCTGCTTGCAGTGAGAACGAGTAAAACAGCAGACAACTGAATAATCCTACCCGACACAGATGCTGACAAACTGAGACAAAGGCTGATACTGAGGAGCAAACAAGACAAAAGAAAGGGAACTATCTCCTGGAGAAGTAATCATACTGCATCTTCTGTGGGAGCACTAGTGACTGGCAAGAGATGAAGTGACTCGTGAAGCTAACCCTACTCAGAACTCTGCTGTATTGAGAGATGCTGTAATTTAATCAAATGCTCTGAAGACAGATTGACAAGGACTGAGACTGTAAGAGCAAGCTACATTTGCCATGGAAGAAGTTAGTCAATAAATTATGGCATGACAGTAGTTTACAAAGACAAGATTACGAGTAAATTTATTGCACAGTAATATAACTCGGATCACAAAAAGAGTCCAGATGTGGTCTGAGCTGCCACATTTCCTTTTGGATAGATATGGCTATTTCAGAATTTTTTGGAAATGTATTTCCAACTTTGACCTTTTATTGTCTTCTAGAAGAAAGAAACTTAGATGCCCTCAGAATCCTGTCTCAACTACACATGAGAGAAAACCACATGCACAAAAAGATGAAAGATCATTTTAAAAGATGCTTAGGTTACTAAATCTACATTTCTAAACTGGTAAAAACCAAAGACTAGCTGAACTAGTTGGCAGAGCTGCAGTGTGTCACTGCCACATTTACCATGTCTGTGTCTCTGCCATTCACTCTGTCTCTGTTATTGAGAGACGCGTCCTTGCACAATTTTATGCTTATCCAGCATCACAGAATAACTTTGCCATTACTGTCCCAGTAACGCAAAGCAAAACAAACACTGCCCACAACAATGAAGTGCTATGCCATCTTGAAAACTTTATGAGAATTGCTGGCCACTCCTATGGCTTGATGTTAACAAGATGCTCCTGTGGCAGAGGCTGTGTTCCCCACACAGCGTTTGGGCCAGAAAGATGCAAGTGCGACTGAGAAGGTCCTAAAAGCCTCCATGAAGGGTGTAGTATAATGAAGCAGGTGATGTGGTGGTGCCCAGTGAGGATGTTTATTGAGCAAGGAGAAACCGCTTCCTAAACTTCATAAAGGAGAATGCAAGGAGGTGCCTTCTCTAAGCATGGCCAAAAACATCTGCAATAGTTTAGTAAGAGACAGGAGGATGGGGGCTGCTGGAATGAAAAGTAAAGCTAAAAACACGGATGAAAGGACAAGTGAGTGATGCTGGAGGCAGTTTCACAGTGAAAGAAAACCGCCCATGAAGGTGTGTCCTGAAACTCACCTGCCAAGCTACAGGATGGAGTGGAAAGGTTCAGGTTATGACACTAGTCTCCAAAGATGTAAGATACATGAAAAAAATTCAGTTTAATGATTTTCTCTGTAACAGCTTTGTCATGTATAATTCAGAGCACTGAGAAGTGTTTGTTAAGACAGGAAATTGTATGGTAGAAACAGGAAAGCACACCAACATACAGAGTCCACAGAAATTGGTGGATGAGAGCCTTTCAAAGGCCAGGTACTGAATATCAGGGTACAAATAATCTGAAAAATACAGACTAAACGTTAATTGCCTTGTGGCAGCAGAAAATGTGTTAGTTGTAAAAGCAAATTTCTGTCTCACCGTTACATGTCACTGCACATTACAGAGTTACCTATCCCACCCAGTCCCCAGTAAGCCAGTAACATGTTTATTTAAACACTAACTACCTGCTTTACAATTAACTGACTCTCTATATAACAGATTCTGTTAAAATGCTTAAAAAATTTAAAAGTTAAAAATTAAGCGATATCATCATTATTATTTATACATGTTATAAAACAGTCAGTACTTTAGTGATGAGTATCACTGTGCAACTTTCTCCCAGCTACCACATTAAAAACCAAACATCCAATTAATTGTAAAACATACTTGTTTTGGGGCATCTGCGGAGGTGGTGTGAACTTCAGTACCTCGGAGTCCATTAGACTCAAATACCACTGTGGGAACAAGGGGGCTTGTTAACAGATGAACATTCAAGCTTCGTTAGTGTGTGTACATTATTTGAGACCATTACAGATTAACCACGTTCAAAAAAAGACACCAGCTACTAGCCTGTGGCCGGAAAATACCAATTTACCGTAACACTTACTGTAAGAGAGTGTGCTAATGGCAGCCTAGGGCCACTGCCCTTTTTAATTCAGACTTCAGTGCTGAAGAAAGCAATCACTGACAACATTAATTATCAGTGTATGTGTAAAGGGACCCTCTTCTTGCATTACTTACCATTTGGCTTCTGTCATTTTGCATCAGACTGGCTTATGTATGCATCATTCACACTTTTGAGAAGGAACCTGCTAATCTCACTGTCTCATGCAATGCTCAGGAGGTCTCAAGGCACTGGTGGCTTTAGCCTCCTCCAGCCTCAACCACAGACTGTGTCAGGCTAAAAATGGCTGCTAGGGCTGACCAGTGTGAGGAAAAATCTTGTTTCCCACAAAAATGTTCCTGTCAACAGCAACGATGAGGCAAAACAAAGCCTTATGTTGTGCTGAGAGGGATACTTTGATTTCAATTTGTGCTGGTGGCAACAGAATTCATTAGCATATTCATTTCTGAGTACCCTACTCTCTAATTAAAATAAAACATTTGCAAACAGAGTTATCTTAAATGCATTGCAATTTTATGGAGTTCGGGCAGGGATCAGGTAGGCAATATCTGGAGAACAAGAGCAACAGTCGTAAAAATAAAAAACCTGTCTATAAGATTTAGGTACTGGAATTACCTAGGTTAACATGGGATGTGAAATGTAATTCTCGGTATTTTGTTAGCAGAATCTGAAAGCAGGCAAGTGGGAAAGGGAGAAAGAAAGAGCAAGTGTGAAAAGGTACCTGCATGGGACCTCTGATGAGTCCTGAGGTGACTGGGTTGGGTAAAGCATTTTCCACATTCTCTGCAGACACAGTCTCCTTGGCGTATTTGTGTCCTGAGCATCCCTGTAGTCAGGAGACAGGGGGAGAGAGGAAGAGGGGGGGCGGGGTGGGGGAGAGGAGAGAGGAAAGTTGAGAAGAAAACATTATGCCAGAAGAAAACATCATTAGTATGTCTAATGTGTCATTATGTGAGGCTACCTTCAGGCCCTGGATGACAACTGTCAGCCTTCATCTAGGCACTGGCTGACAGGCCAGGCACACACAGGACTGCAAGAATGCATAAATTACATTGAATTAAAAAATGCTCCCCATGATGTGCCCGCACCAGGACTGGCATGTCAGGTGTGCGCTTTTCAGAGCAGCTGGATCCACTTCTCAGCCATCACCCAGCTTTGTCAAGCAGTACATCAGGCAAATCAAAGTGACTCCAGCGTGGCGGAGACAAGTCACATGGATAATAGGAAGTGAGTAGGACCAGAGCCCGACTGTCCCCCCCAGGCGGCAATACCTCAGAGACAAATGCAGAGTGAGCGGAGCCATCGCAGACTGATCAAACCTTTCGCCCCTGCCTACCTGCCTGCCGGTGCTGCTTTGACCCTGGACCTCTGAGGCACAGACGAAAGACATCTGTGAATGAAAGTGTCATTCCGGACATTTTGAGCTGGTAGCAGCGCAGCAGCCTTCCCCCAGCCCTGGGTAAACATGTTTTCTAGGCCATTAGCATTTGTGGAAAACCGCTCAAACCTCTCCTTTTTCTCCAAAGGTCAGTTTACAGCATCTGACTTAAAGGGCTGGTCTTTGTCTTTTTGCTGCTGATCAAAAAAGACACATTTGACTTTTATTGGGCTTTTTTACTATTAAAAAAAATTATGTTTGAACATCATCTTTTCTATTTTGGTAAAACGCCCTCTTCAGAAGGAAAGAGTTGATGTTTCCAGTTGCCACTGGAATACTTTGGCTTTTAAAGAAATTCTGAGAGGGTTGTCAAGAGAACTGAAGTTTCAGCTTTTCTTTCATATTCCCCTCCCTATTACAGCACTTAAGAAGAATAAAATTATGAACAAAAAGTGGTAACAAAACCTCTCCACGCAACTGAAAAATCAACTGCAGGATGCCAGAGGATTCATCCAAAATATGGATGCTGTAACTAAAGATGAATGGTAAAGAAGACAGCTGCCATTTACTCTGCTGTTATGACACCAAGTGTCCTGTGATGGTTTTCACCACACCATATATTGGAAAGAAATGTCTGGCTGGAAAAAAGGAAAACAACAACAACAAAACCCCAAACAAATGCCAGCAAATGCCCCACTCACAAATTGTTCTCTCCTTTTATAATAGCACCTCCTGCAGATGGCAGCACAGTCTGTAAAATATACTTGAACACTCTATCTCCCAAAAATTAAGTTTCTGGGAATCAAATAGAAGACTGTGATTTTGGAGAAAATCCAGATCAGTTATACCCACACACAGAAACAAACAAAAACCTTAAAAAAAAAAAATCACATGTCAATGAGAGCCTTAATGTACTATAAGGAGATAGATTTGCCTTGTAAAGCAGCCAAGATCAAAGCAGTTTTCTGATCTGTTACTAGCATTTTCCTCACTGGTCAGAACTATAGCTGAAAACTTGAAAGCAAAAAGCCGAAGGAAGTGTGCTGAGGAACCAGCTGTGACCTTTGCTGGACAGCCCCATGCCAACTATTGGACAGGCAGGGACTCCCAGAGCAGCTCCTGTGAAGGCCAGGAGAGGTGGGTTCCTCAGGTCATCGTTCTGACACCTCTGGAGAGAGATTTAATCCCTCTACCCATGTCTCCCTTTGTGGAAGATGAATACACTTGTCTCAGCAACCATTACAGACCCAATCCAAAAGCCTTCATGGTAGCACTGCTGCCATCTGAGTCATGCATGCATGAGGGAAGGCTGAGGATGCTGTTGTAAGCCAACATACTCTGTATGAATGCCAAAGGTGAGTGGGTTAACACTTTCGGATATCTAACCCCTCCCCAGTTCTCACTTTATGGTAGGTATTCAAAAAGCAGGTGGAAAAAAATGCATCACTTCCAGGTATATTTGCCATTGTTGTATTTCCTAAGTAGCACCATAAGGCTTTTGATAGTTAAGAGCTTTGAGCCATGGGCATCACTGCCACAAGGCAATACCCCCATGAATCATCACTCAGGTTATCCTATACGTGGAAAAAAGAGGGTGGATGACTACAGGTCTTAGCAAATTACAGGTAAACAAATGGGAGTTCCTGAGAAATCGATGCTCAAAGCTGGTCTCAAAGGAGACTCAGAGAAAGAGTGCATCTGCTGCCATAACCCACCCTTTCCTAATATGGTGATTCATGTAAATGTCATTAACAAGATAAATAACCACTATTAAAGATAACAGTAAGATTCTCTCTATAAGCATTTGGGAAGATTGGGCAGTGTGAAACAAACTAACCTAAGTACAGCAAGCTTTGTGTTTGCAGCTGTATCACAACAGTACATACAACAACTCTCTTCCAAGGACACTGGAATAAACGGAAGAGAAACAAAGAATCCCAGAAATAAGAACACTGCACTGCCACACACTAAAGCATTCTAGTGTAATCCAAGATGACATCATATTAAAACAAACAAAAAAAAAAGTAATGTCTATTGGAAATACTCCACTGAGGGAAAAACATGACAAATAGTATACCTAAGTGGGATTTTTGGTTGTCCTTCATGTCATGATTGCCATATTCATATTATGAGATTAAGGCTAAATTTTATGATGCATACTGACTCACAGGGCTCAGCCTATCTAGGGCATATGTTATTTCAGACAAAGTTCAATTACTCTCCTCTGGTTTTTTTGGTAGGATCTCGTTCCTTTTGCCTGAAGCAGCTTTTTATTTGAGTGCTATGAAAAACAGCCATCATGCCAATTGGCTTGGAGAAACAACAACAACCCGGAAGTTGTATATAAAATGAAGACAAGCTACATTAAAAAAAAAGAAGCTTCAAATTCTGAAAACCTGACTGCTGTAAAACACTTGGAATGAAAGAAGAGGTTTCAAAGCAGAGGTGGGCACTAAATAACGTCCAGTTAAAGTGTCTCTGGAAATCACTGCACAGCAAAAACGTTTTGCCAATAAAATCCCTCTTTTAAAAAGCACGTAAATAGAGACCTCTTTGGAAACCCTGCCCCTATTTTACTTTGTTCCAACAGTCATCATGAATTTTCTGATGCCTGCATTCTCTAAGTCAGCTTCTAGTTCCTAGCTTTTACTGTTTTTTCTTTCTCTCTCCAAACACGGCTGGGAGCTCACTGGATCAGTAAGATTTCACTGAGCCGGTTGACACAATGTAATATTAAATAACATCAAGGTGGGCACCCATGTGAAGGTACCCCAAGTTGGTGGTGAATTCACTGGTACTTAGAGCGGGAAGTGAGCAGGGAGAAACTTAAGACAACATTCCTAGACACTGGGAAAAAATAAAAACCCCCAGTTTTAGAAACTGAGCATATCCTCCTCTGCTTCATTAACAAAAACCAGGAGCCTGGGGTAAGTTACAATCATCAGGTAGCCCCTAACCACCTGCAAAATGATCTGCTCAGTAAGTAACAGCTGCCCCTACACAGCATTACTTGTCAAATGATTGAGCAAAGCTGACAATGGAGTGGCTTAAAGGTGCAGCCCATGGACTATGTCAGACAGATCTTGCCTTCCTGTCTTCTCCAAAAGGTCCCTCCACCAAGACCCGGTCAAACATTATGGCTCCTTCCTTGCCTTACAGCTGCCAGAGTAGTCAACTTTCACACACCTTCTGGGCACAAGACCATAGCTGTCCTTAGGCTACCAGCTTCCAAATGTCCTGGATTTTGTGCCACTTGCAAACTAGGGTCACAAGCTCCATTTCACACACACTTTTGACAAAATAGAGGGCATTATGTCCAGTGAGGACACCAGAACACCGGTCTTGAGTATGTGCTGTTTTTATGTGGAGTTTATTTGCACAACTTCTACAAAGAGAAGAAGGGTATAAAAAACTGGGATGGTTTATAAATGGTGAGACCATGGCTCCCATTCTCCTCCCCTTCAGACACACCCCCACCTCATGTGTAGCCTATCAGTGTGATTTTCAGTTTCCACTGAGACAAACTAATTCTGGCAGATCATCAGAAGAGTATGGTTTCAAATGCAAATACATAGGTTTCTTCTTTTTTTTTCCCTTTAACATGGAAGTTGAAATTTTTTAGTCCCTGCACTTTTAAACTGGCTATTTGCACAACTGACTTTTCTGCTTATGTGAATTAGTAGGCATGTATTCAGCCCTACCTCTTTTTAATTACAAACATACAAACAGATCAAAAGACTCATTTAAAAAATACGGTTGCAATCTTTGACATGGACAAGGAAGATCTTAAGACTTTTGTCAAGGAAGACAAAGGACAATGACAAGTGATTATCCCTCTCTGTTGTTGGGAGACTTGTTTGCAGACAAAATTGAACAAAACCTCCAAAATAACATCACAGATAAGCCCCAGAGGATGTTTATTTTGCCTGAAGCAAAAAGACGATGATGTGTGCCAGCACCAGCGTATCAGGGAGATCTTCCTGTGACAGCACATCTGTGTAACTCTAGCCTGCTTGAAGCAAGAGGACAAAGGAACAGCAGTACTCCAGGTGGAACCAGATACATTTAACCTGTGACAGAAATGTCACACAGTGCACAAGGGGGGATGCTGCAGTGTTAAGAGAGCAGTAAACAAACCTATTCAAGCCTATCCAGCAATGATAAAAACAATGAACTTGTAATCCCAACTGTTAAAGGCAGAGAAGGGAAAAACTGGTGAAACAGTGTATCGTGGCTCTGAATGAAGCAGGAACAAGCAAGCCTATGTCCTCAGCTATAGAAGGGCCTATGAAAATCTTACCTGTGTGATCCAGGACAGGGCTGTTGGCACCACAGGTTTGGTACAATGAAGCAAGGTCCTTTGGAATGTATGTTTTAAAGATATTTAAAATGTCCAAATGTTTCTCGTGCACATCTGATCCCACATCCTGTTTGCTGGAGTGTAAAGCTGGAGAGACTCCCACGTTACTAGGCTGGGGCTGCAGTACCGGACTTGTTCGTGCTACCGCTGTGCAGTTTGCCAATGTCCTCATCTCATTCCCAGCCTTCATGTGAGACTCCCTCTGAGGCACTGGTGGCTCTTCGTGTTTAGTGTACTGCTCGCTTTTACACACAGGATGGTACTGCAGCGGTGGGTTGTATTTGGCCTTCATGGAGTCGGACGCACAGTGCTTACCTGGAGGGGAAAAACCGGTACTTCCTTGGGGCACCACGTACTTTTCCACTTGCTTACTGTTTGTGGGCTGTGTGCTAGGCCTGGATATGACTGTTTGTGTAGGCGTTATGCTTCTACTATAGGTTCCCATTTGCATAAGTTTGGAATTTGCTTCATATTTACTTTTCTGCTGTGCTGCTATGCTGTACTGCTCCTGGGAATGGTTTAACTTGGGCTGTCTGTACCCATCCAGACCCGATAAGCGTGGACCACAGTGGCTGAAGGCATGACTGTCCTTTGACTGATGCGTACTACCAGACTTCGCAGTCATCCCGACAGAAAGAGAGCTGGTTTTGGAACCTGGCAATGCACTTGGCACTTGAGTACGCGTAAATCTGGCAATGGGCAAAGGCTGGCATTCCTTACCACCGAGAACAGGAGGGGGGCCAGTGCGCCCATTCCTTGCCAGAAAGACCAGGTTGTTTTTAATGCTCTTGAATCCGTTCTGTTGAACCCAAGGGGGTACCATCGAGTTACAGCTGATTTTGTGCAAAATTCTTTTGTGCATCCACAGGACTTCAGGGTAGTAGGTCTTGTGACTGCAGAAAGGACATGGGTAGACAATTAAAGCAGTCTGGAAGGATGTATTCAGATATTTATTGCATGAATTATCCCTTGTTGATTTTTCACTCAAATCGAGTGGAGCTACCTCAAGAGCTTCAGCACCTTTTTCTATCAGAGGATGCCCCCTGTGCAAGTCTAGCAAAGTTTCTCTAGCACGACTAGCCTGCACTTCAAGTGATGTTTTCAAGTCCATTACCATGTCTGAAGATGTCTGGCCCACACCCGAAGCAAAGCTAGCAATGCGACTGGAGCAAAGAAGCCCTTGGCTGTGATGAAATGCTGGCATCTTCATGTCTGCAGAACCTTGGTATTTTGAAAAGGGTTCCTTGATGACACTCTCCAGTGCTGACATCAGGACAGGAATCTCTGGTTTAGATTCCCTGGCCTCATTTTCTCTGGCATTGCGGCTTCCCAGCTTTGGGAGTTCATCCAACTGAGATGTTATCATTGGGGTTTCTTCTTCAGGAAAGCTGCAGTGGTATGGCTTTTCATCTGAATGGGACAAAGAAAAAAACACCATTGTCATTTTACATAGAAAGGAACTCAAAAGACAGAGCAGAATTCAAGACTAGAATAAGACAGCAGGAGAAGAAGGAAATTTTGGTATTAGTTTTGTAATGACATGTTACAGACTAAATGTACTTTATAAGCAAGAAAGTCTTGAAATAAGACACAACAGTTCAATTTACTTTTAAAGATGACTGCAGAGTCTGGATAAACTCTCTAATGCTGCCCGTTCATGACATTTTGAAGAAAAAACAATTCAATAACATACCCATGTTAAAATTCTGGGGCTGCGAGAAAAATAAACAAATCTGCAACCATTTAATGCTTTAACAAAAGCAAAGATAATGGAGCCAGATAAAACTGACCTAGTTAAAGGTCTGTCAGCGCTTCCATTACAAGCCCCTATTTTCAAAGGGTTTATAACTCAGCAATAAGAATTGGCTCCACACAGAAACCAAGCACATAAGCAGGTACAGCATACAGAATAAACTCCTAACTTAAGAGGGACTTCTGCAGTGGCCAAGTGTAAAAGATGAGTTATGAAGGATGTAAATTTTGAATTTTCAGTCCTTCAGTTTAAAGCAAATATTTTTTTTCCTTGGTTTTTGGGGGTTTTTTTTGTAACTTATGTTTGAAACAAACGTTAGGAAAATCTTGTGACTGCTTGATCTACTGAAAGATAAGGAATTCAACATTTCAGCCATTTAGATTACAGAATTCAAAACAGACTTTCAATTCTTTTCATTTTCTTCTTCACTTCTCAGTTCTCCAGAGTAAATTTATCTAGCACATGTCCTGGAAAGGGAACATACTGGACAGTAATTAAAACTCTTTAGGGTGAAAGAGAAGAGCAGAATTTGGTTTTGCTGGGAGCATGACTATGTCTGCTTGCTTTCCTCATGCCGATCTCTCAGAGCCGCTGATGAAGCCAACGAATCCCTCCAAATCAGTTCACAAATCAATTCCACAGAGATTTTCATCACAGCAGTAATGCTTACTGCACTGAATCCATTTAACATGTAACTGAATTGAATCATCTGACAAACTTTCAGTTTCAATTAACATGCAGTTAATAAGCCACTACCAGGCAAGTGTAGGGAGACCGTGCTCCATCTAAAGCGTCACCAGTCCAAAGTGATCACTGCATCCGTAGGAGGGGTGAGAAGGGGAAAGGAGTGAACTGCTCCAGAGCTGCATATCCTCTCACATCAACTCATAAAAGCCAAGACTTCAGAAAATCAAGCGCCATTCGTTAGCACAGAGCACTGCCACAGGCATTATTCTGCACAGTGCAATGGAAGTAGCATGTTGTTGGCTAGAGCTGCTCTGCAAATAAAGCCTACTTAGCCCTCATCTTCAACTCAAGCAAAAAAATCTTTAAGCTTTTGTTTAATTCGAGGTAATTAGGTTAAAAATAACCCATAGGTTATTTTACCCATTCAGCCTTTCAGGGCTGAATGCTCACTCCGCAAAGATCATTTTCCTTTCAAACTCTCTAAGGGATGGTATGTTCAGGGGGGAAAAACCCTGACAACCCAGAAAGTTTTTTTTCCTGGGTTGCAGGGGACAAGGTTTTGGGAAAGCACATGCCCAGCACTATTAACCAAATTTACCAAAATTACAGTTTGAAACAAAGACACTGCATGCAGTGGTGAAATCTGACACTGCACATCTGTGTTGTTTTCAAACTGTATCTGTCAAAACCCCAAATATTTGTGCTCTTAAATAAGATTTTAAGGCTTCTCTTTATGATCACAAGGAGTGGCTCCTTTTATCACTGTACTAAATAATAAAGCAAAGCAAAACCCAATCCTTTGGTTATAGCAGTACTCAGCAGGGAGTGAACCGACCTGTTGGCTACACTGAGCAGAGCAGGCAGAGGAGGTAAGTGGGGAGGCCACTGCTAGAGCCCTGTTCCAGGGACTGCAGAGCTGGGAGGCTCCACCTACTCCTTGGTCCACCCGTGCAGCCAGGATGAAGGGGGGAATCAGTAGACACCTGCAACTCCCAGGTTGCTCTGCATACCTCAGACACTCCTTGATACTTTCTGACTCGGTCAAAATCTATGTGACTGCGCTGTTTCCACAAAGAGAGCAAAGAGGTCAAACAGATGGCGAGAGGTGGCATGTGTTAGGTCTGGGCTTGGTCTTTAAGTCTGGACTGTGAGGAGGGAGAAGGAGACAGCACAGAGAGAGACCACAGTCCTATGTGCCCAATTAAAGCTGGGATTGCGAATCTGAGGTGGCTACTATCCTTTTGGTCCTATTTGTTTAGTGCAGCCAACAGAGAAAAAGGGATTTTCCAAGTGGAAAAATGTAACAAAAAGCAGGAAAACAATAAAGGTATTTCTGAGGTGTATCTAGGCCTGCAGTTGCCACAATACTGAAGGCAGCTGTCAGTATATTATATGAAAATTTGTAAGGTTATTAAAAAACATAGCTTCTAACATCTCTTCATAATGTCTTGCTAGATTCAATTCCTCTGATGGCTCACAAGAGCAGTACTAAACATACTAGGAATAATTTTGAAACCTTAGATCAGGAGCCTCAATAGAAGTATTTGTGCTAATTGCTCAAGCTGCATTTCTTGCAAAAAAACCCAAAACCAAAACAGAAACAATTTTCACCTGCAGGCCAACTCAGACTTCTTCATCAGTGCAAAGCACAGCCTATGCTTTTCCCCTAACCCCATCCTGCTATCCACCAGGGACCTGATGCTACAGATACCAAAAACCAGACTGCCACATGCCATCCTTCCCATCATGGCAGGTAGTCCAGGCTGGGCAGTGAGCAGGTAGCAAAAGCCAGGTGGAAGAGGGGATGCAGGTAAGAGAAGAGAAGACAGTATGCAACCCAATAATATAGGTAAAGCCTTTTTAGAAAAATAGATTTCTGCCTGCTTCCAGCCAGTTGCCCCACTTGAAAAGGGGTATTAATGATCCTTTTAAATCACTGGTAAAAAGTACTGTTCTAACCAACGCAGTGCAGGCATTACTATCACCAGAAACTGTTGACATTTTATTATGGCCAGGTCAAAGCAAAAAGCCATGAATGAGATGCCTTCTGCTTGATCTCCACAGGCTATAACTCCCATTCCCCACTGAAAGAGTTCCTGGCTAAGCATGCTCTCACTTTTTAATCCTACAGTCCCGGTCATTTCCTCGTATTTGCCTCAATTCCTTTGTTTCTTACCCAGAACAGCTATTTATTATCTGTTGTACTTATGAGAGAGAAAGGTCCTTTTACCACAAGCCTGAAGTGTTATGGCCTTTCTGTGTCAGAGATACCTGGATAACAGCTAAAGCGGGGAACACTCCAAAGTGCCCAGCCAGGAGGTGGTGGCTGCTGATGTTATCTCACGTCTTGGCCACAGTTTCAAATATCAACAGCACTGCAGGCCATGGGAAAGAAAAGCAGGATAGTGCAAAGCACTTAACTATGTGAAAGCTGTGGTCTAGAAACACAGGAGCATTCAGGGATTTGAGAAGTTCTTCAGAAATATACGCAACTTTCATCACTTAGTGACTTTACCTAACACAGGCAGATGAAAGTTCCTCGCACACACATATCCCTCTTCTTTCTCCCCCTTACACTCATAAACTCTCCTTGTTTTCTTCCCAGCACTGTTTCTCCACAAAACCGAATTTCAGAATGGACTGCACAGCTGTTTTAATTCATGAGGCTTCCTATAAAGTAAACCAGGCTACAAGCCTGAAGACAATGAAACCGTGATTTCTATTCAGAAGAGTAGAACCGGCTAGAAATTGGCCCCTTTTCTGGCTAGTGTTACAGCACTAAGAATCTAAGGAAAAGGAGCAGATGTGATGTGTTTGAAATTTAGTAAACATTTGATAGTGATTTGCACTTCGAGATGAATGCTGTGGCTTGATTTGAAAACCGGCTGCAAATAAATCATGATAAAAGCAAAGGATAACACTGGAAGAAGGTGCAATATTGCTAAGACCTGTCTTGGGTTCTGTTTCACTTAGTACTTTAATGATCCAGAAGAGACTCTAATCAGCACGCTAACTTGAATCTCCAGGAAATATCACATTTGGAGAAGATGCAAAAATGGGGACAAGGAAATAATGCACAGGGACTCAGAAAGAATAGAAATGCAGTCTCAAAATAATCAAATGAGATTCACTCCAGGAAAAAAAGCAGGCTAAGACAAGTGAAGGGAAATGATCCAAAAAACCCCATGCAGTGGGAGGGAAAAATCTGGGAAACAGCAATGTTGAAGAAAACAGATGTTACGATAGATGGCAAGTTAAATATGGGTGTAGTAGACAAAGTTCTTCAACTTGGCTTTCACAAATAAAAGTATGCACTATAAAAATAAAAATAAAACTAGCCCTCTGAAGCAGACACGACAGCCTTGCCAGTCATGTTGTGTGTGTATATATACATACAAAAAATATCTATACAAAAAATATCTATATAAATATATGCACACCATAGCAATGGGTACTATGTAAAAGCGACAGTAAGCACAATACAATGGGAAACAGCAGAGGAAAAAAGGCAAAAAGCAGTTTCGCAGCAGAAAATCAGGTCTTTTATCCTGTGAAAGGAAGGTCCAACAAAAACAGTCTATGCCTCTAGAATATCTATGCAGATCTGCAATTACAGGTAAGTCAGAAGGAGTTTGGAGAACTGCCACAAAATAGTAACCCACCAGGAAACAAAGAAAAGGAGTTAAGTGTCCCTCACATGGCTGAGGGAAGATGGAAGAGTGACAGGCCAACGCCTGCAGCCTCCCCAGGAGTGCCAAGCTCCAGAAGAATTATGTCATCCTGAGCACTGGAGACTATCAACAACAATCAAATATACTTGCATTCAGAAAAACCCACGATGAACAGAAAAAAAAACCCAAACAAACAAAACCAACAGTCTGATTATATGTATTTGCTGCTTGCAGAATAAACGTCAAGGGAAGAGGTGAAACACCACTTAGACTGTAAAACCTATATGGACAAAACATGG